GCCAAAAGTGAATATTGAAATATTTGAAAAATGATGATCTCCATATTAATTGAGATTACATGAGTTGATTTCTGAATTTCTTGTTTCATGCATAATGAAAAAGAAAGAATCTTGCTTTTATTGATGTTATATAAAATATTTTTTTCTTTTAACAAAACAAGTATGATAAAATTAAAATACCTCGTTTAGACTTAACACCAATATTGTATGCAAGAAAATGTGATTCAGTTGATATTGGTATCAGTAGTGTTTAATCAATCTTTCTTTTATTGTTATTTTCTATCTTTTATTATATAGCTTATATGTTCTGTTGTAAGAAATACAAAAACGAAATGTCTTTAAATGGAATAAGAAAAAAATTCAGTTAAATATTGTTTTAAATATATGATTGGCATTCCTTTTGATTTAATTTCTCATCATATTTAGTATTGGTATAGCTAGCACTAGCATCACGAACTTCAGATTGCGTTCTACAATCACTGTCAACTGAAGAATTATAACCAATATATTTCGATGATGATGATGGGCGACTTGTTTCACCAACATTAGTAGTTTTTGTAACGGCAAGTACTTGAATTCCTTTATAGCTATTTCCACTTGATGATGAACAGCCTTGATTGATTCTTTCATATGACTGATGAACATGAACACTATTTCCGTATGTATTTGTATTTGTTAAAGGTGTTATTGCTGAAGACGACTAGAATAAACAAATTCTTATAGTTTTTTCTTAAAGACCTTGTTTTGAAAAAAGTATACTATATCTTCATTAACACCAGCTTTAAGAGCTTCCTGAGCAAATATTTCGGAATCTAAAAGTGATGTTCCATAACGAACTTTATAATCATAAGGATCTTCTCGAGTAACACCAAGATTTTGAAATTTTCGGACTATACGTCTGTCAACATCTTTGTAATTAACAACAGTATGAGTTGGCTTGGGATATTCTATAACAGGAGGAGCGCGCTTAACAAATATTTCGCGTTCAGGTTGAGGTCCATAGGGTAGCCATCGTTCAAATCTAATATTACCTAAGTAGCACAAACAAACAACAATCAGAAATAATAGAAAAACAAAAAGAAAAATGAAGATAGTTTTTTTACGTGGTTTTTCTGGAAGTCGTGGCAAAACTTCGATGCGAACCGATCGTAGTGGAACAGGTATAGGAGGTAATTCACGAATATCTATCAAGCAAAATATATTGAGAAATTTTATTTATTTAATTTATATTTCCTCTTCCTAACATTTTTCACTGCAACCATGTAGCGGTGGCTTTGGTGGTCGTTCACGTAAGATAAGTGGAGGTGGCGTAGAAACACGTGATTCATGCTGGCGTATGACAAGCGGTTCAGGCGGTGGTGGTTGTGGTGGACGCACTTCTTCAATAATGATCGGCTGAAATCATACAAAGATATGTAAGATTGAATTTGTAAACAATCTGTATCATTACTCCTGGTGGTGGAAGAGCCGGTGGTTGTAGATATTGAATAACAACTCGTTGTTCATATGTTACTGGCATGTCACTTCTTGGTGTTTCATTAATAACTCGCTTAGGATCCAAATAAATAATCCCAGATAATTCAGCAAGACGTTGTTTCGTTTCTTCTTCGCTATACGTGTTAATCGGACTATCAATAATCAACTGACTAGCTGCTGTTGTACCCTACAAAGAAAAGAGTAGAATATTAAACGATTGCCATCTTGGCAACTTTTCATAGGCTCTTAAAAGGCTTATGACAGCCTTCTATATCCTTAAAGGGTTTAGGATTCGAAGGGTTTATGAAAGCAAGGGTATATGAAAATAAAAAATGGGTACGCCCACGCAGGTTCGCCCACTTTTTACAGAACTTTCTGCCGACAAGATTTAAGTATGCTAGTATTGTAGCCCTTGTCAAGTTATGTACGAATTAATATTTGGTTTTGATTGGAATCATGTGTTAACTGAAAACAGTAGGCTCAAAAATCGATTTTCTCGAAAAATGTTAGGAAGAGGAAATATAAATTAAATAAATAAAATTTCTCAAT